TGGGTTTTTATTTATTTTTTAAAAAAGGTCTGATGGCACCTGCCCAGTGCCTAGAACACAGCTCAACCATGGAAGTCTGCTTCCTACCACCTCTCCATCCTGCATGATTGGCTCCCGTGGGATGAGGGGCTGCTTGTGGAAAAGCTGCTTTATCCTGAGGGTGTCTGTACACAGAATGAGATAAACGAAGGGCTCTTACCACCTGGAAGAATGCGTCACAAATCATGAAATGATTGTACTTGTTGTTGGAACTATGGCTCTTTTCTAATTCACAAGAACCCACTGGGAGGCGAGGTCAAACATTTTATGTAACAGACTGATGTTCATTAAATCCTGGCCAGCCCACCTAGTAAAAGTCACTGCTCCTTTTCAAATCAGCTTTGCTGGAATTACACTTTTCAACATAAATGGGAAATGATAAGCGTCGTAAAGCATATTGCACTATTAAGTGATATCTTTTTGAATGTGTCCCACACGTTGGGCACCAGCTGTGTATTTGTACTTGCTGTTGTACTTAATTCTCACAACAATCACATTGACTATTATTATTGTCCCTCCCCCCCGCTTTTTTTTAAATATGGAAACAGGCCCAGAGAGATGAAGAGATGTTCAGAGTTCAGTGTGTAACAAACTCAAAATCTTTTTCTTTCTGGGTGAAAGTGTAATATACGACAACTTTCTGGTTTAGTTTGGGTTTGTTCAAGGGTCAAAAATCTATCAATTTGGGGATTACAGTTGAGACAACGGAGCTCTGGTGGCACAGTAATTAATTGCTCAGCTGCTAACTGAAAGGTTATTGGTCTGAACCCACCAGTAATTCTGTTGAGAAGAGACCTAGAGATCTGCTCCTGTAAAGGTTTCAGCCTAAGAAACTCTATGGGAAAGTTCTCCTCTGTCATTCAAGGTCACTAGGAGTCAGCATCAACCCAACTGCACACAACAAAAGGGTGGGCCCATCCACATCTTGAGAAGTTAAACACAGAGATAATGTTTTCTTTAACTTTTCATGACCCATGGGGGCTACACTTAGTGCCCACCTACATTTTCTTCCTCTGGGGTTTACTGGGAAGCTGTCATCCTACTTTTAGTTTGTGCTGCCATCATATGGGGGCCTGTATAACTCAATGACCATGTTTTGGAGCTACTGTTGGGATGCACAGATGGCACTTGTTCTATTGATTTCTTCCCACTCCCCTTTTCTGTCTACCTGGCTATTATCTTCCCAACTTAAGTGTGAGTTCCAGGAGGGCACCCCCTAATCCTAGAACGTGCCTGGTGTCAAGTGGTGTTAGCTGCCATCAAGTTGGCCCCAACTCATGGTGACCCCATGCACAACAGAACCAAAGGCTGCCTGGCTGTGCATCGTTCCCATACTTGGTTGTGGTTCTGGCCCCTAGACTTTTCACTGGTGGATTTTCAGATGTAGGTTGCCAGGCCTTTCCTTCTGGTCCATCTTGGTCTGGAAGCTCTGCTGCAGCCTGTTCAGCGTCATAGCAACATTCAAGCCTCCAGCGACAGGGTGGTGGCTGTGTTTGACGTGCGTTGGATTGGAATTAAACTCAGGTCTCCCTCGTGGAAGGTGAGAATTACACCACTGAACCACCCAAACCCCAAATCCAAAGTCACTGTCATCAGGTCGATTCTGAGTCAGAAAGATCCTTGACCCTTTTCTGGGCAAAGTAGAACTGCTCCTATGGGGTTTCCAAGGTTGTAAATTTGTACTGAAGCAGACTCTTTCTCTTGTGGAGCTGCTGAGGGGTTTGAACCACCAACCCTTTGGTTAGCATCCATATGCTTTACCCACTGCACCACCAGGGCTCCTTACTGAACCCCGCTGCCCCATATTGCTGGTAGAAATGTAAAATGGTGCAGCCACTTTGGGGGGAAAAAAAAATCTGGCAGTTTCTCAAAAGGTTAAACACAGAGTTACAGTGTTGTTGTTAGTTGCCACTGAGTCTGTTCCCGTTCAAGGTGACTCTGTGCAGAGCAGAACTGCTCCATAGGCTGTCACCTTTCAGAGGCAGATCAACAGGCCTTACTTCTGAAGTTGCTGCTGGTGGGTTTGAACCACCAACCGTCATGTTTAGTAGTCCAGTCCGCTCCTAGACATGTATCCAAGAGAACTGAACATACAGTCCACCCCAAAACTAGTAAACTAGTATACAACTGTTTATAGCAACATTATTCATAACAGCCCCAAGGTGGGAACAACCCAAATGTCCATCCCCTGATGAGTGTTCGAATGGAAGGTAGTATAGCCATCCAATGGAATTAATATGTAGCAGTAACAAGGAATGGCGTACTGATAATGCTACAACGTGGATGAACCTTGAAAGCATTGTGCTCATTGAAAGATTAGACAACATCCCGTACGATTCCATTTATATGAAATGTACAGAATAAGCAAATCTGTCAAGATAGAAAGTAGAGGAAGGGTGGCCAGAGGCTCGGGGTGGTGGGAAACGGGGATTGGCTGCTAATGGCCCAGGGATTCTTCTCAGGGATGATGAAAATGTTCTGAAATTGATTGTGAGGATGGTTGCACAACTCTGTGACATGCTAAAAGCCATCGCCCTGTGGTTTAAATGGGCGAGTTGTATGTGAATTATATCTATCTTAAGCTATTGTATCCAAAGAATAAAAATTGTTTAAAATATGGAGCACACACACTCACAATCAAAACGAATCATGTGACCCTGTACTCACACCTGGAGACCTGCGCAAAAGCAGGTGATACTGCGCCCTGCTGCAGATTGCAAGGGGAGCTGAGGCAGGTGGAGGCGCATCTCCACCCACACGTTCCCAGGAGAGGCCCAGATTAGTCCCACCCCCCGAATAAGCTATGTGGCAACGCTCAGTGCTGGGCTTCATGGAAGCCATGTGAGGATGTGAAACCCAGTGCTCACCTGTATGACCCAGACAGGACGTATCTCCAATCCGAGATGATGAACTTCTCCCGGATCTGGCCAGAGAATTTCCTGCCAGATTTGGCACAGTACACCTCTCCTGCCACACTCCGGATGGAAATGTTCTACGGACAGAAAGTCACGAATTACGTGTTCATAGATAGTATTAGCAGAGAAGGACATCTGGAAGGGTTCACCAAGATGTAAACGGGTTATCTCAGGTCGGTGGGATTATGGATCATTGTCTTGCTGAGTTTTCTAGATTTTCTCCATTGTCTTGGCATTATTTGGTAATTAAAAAAAGGGGGGGGGGGAAGGGGTTAGAATTCAAACAAGGCAGCAAATAAAAACAAGAGGAAGGCCCGATGCCTTGGAACCCTCACTCGAGATCCCTGTGGACCACAAGAATTCTGACAGTTACTTGACGGCAAGTCCCTGGTTCTAAACAGGTCAGCAGGGAGGCTTGTTGCAGCCAGAGGAGGCAGCTCCATGGAGTCCCAATGGACTCTGGATTGCTCTGTCTCAGAGAAGGTGGGTTTCTGACCAAACCATGTCTTCATGTGTCCCTCTTATCCTCTAGCAGCTCCTGCTGCCCCAGCCCTGGGGCTGGAACCCTTACACTGGAGAAACGAAAGAACATGTGAACAGTGTGATGTCTCTGCAGTGTCAGGGCAGAGGAAGGTGGTGGAACGCTGCCGTGTCCCACAGATGCCCACTGGTGGCCGGCCAGGCTCTCTGGTGGACACGCCCAGCTGCAATGCCTTTGTCAGCTCCCCGGGCCTCTCATGAGCTCTGTGAGATCTCGGGAGGAGCGACCCATCTTCACTTGAGTGGCAGAGGATTCTCAGTTGTGGACTGTGTGGCCCATAAAGGCAAGTCCAGTGGTGACTCCCATGACCTGTTACAATGGCCTCATGTCAAGAGGTGTGATCCAGGTCACATCAAGCAGACCTCACAGGGGTCCTGAGGCCTAGGCATCAGGAGGGAGCACTGACCCCAGCTGCGTTGTTGTCTGTGTGAAGGGAGAGGTAGAGATGGAGGAGGCTTCATTCTCGTCTGGGAGGAAGGGGAGGAGGGTCCTACCTGCCTGGCTTGGAGGAATCATCAAAGGAACCCTGAGGACTGCCCCCAGCTGTTCAGCTGGGCCCGCTCATAAGAGTTCATATTTGACCTGGCATTGGCTGTGACTTCCCAAATTTGATATGACTAAATGAACCCTTATCTCTGGGGTTCTTTCCCTGCCAGGAGAGGGAGAAGTAGGATTCAGTTAAGTCTAAGAAGATATTCTTGTTGGAGACACGGGGTTCGAAATATGTATCAGACTAAACTCGGTGTTGTCCTGCCCTGTGAAATGCATCCACTACGTTTCCTTCCCCAGCTGAGAGGAGAAAAGGAGACTGTGTCTAAGATCATGCTCACTAAGTACCCAGAGACCTCTTTACACTTCCCATCTCCCATGTATCCAGATGAGGCCAATGGGAGATGGAAGAAGTGAGGGGAACCCCTTTCTGGGTATGGTCCTAAGAATATTCCATGGAATCCTCCAGCCCGCTCTTCCCTGTCACTGTAATTTGGAAGCCACATATCCCTGATGGTGTTGCCACAAGATGGAAGAGGGCCATCTGATCTACAGAGGATTCTGAGCAAGAAGTAAACTTTGATTGTGTTGTCATTGAGGGGGAGGGTATCTGTTACCACAGCACAGCCTATGCTATCCCGACTGATACATAGTGCTTTTAGGGCCCCTACCTTGAGGTGACGGTCAGAGACCTGTACTTTGTCACACATCTCCTGGAAGAGCTTCACACCTCCCTGGTCCAAGAGCACACAGACGAACACCCCACGCTTGTTGGCTGCCTCTAGGATGTCACAGAAGATCTCCACATCTGTGAACACATCCATCAGGATGGCCAGGACCTGGGCCAGGGCAGAGAGGGTGGTGACCAGAAGGGTTGGGACCAGGTGCTAACTGGTTTCAGTCAAACTTCCTGAGGTCCCAGGGGGCCTGGGCATTGGGGGTGGGGAGAGCTGTTCCTGATGCCACTGTGATGGAGAGGAGACGGGGTGAGAGTGGCAGCAGTGGCCTGCCTGGGCAGAATTCAAGGAGGGCAAAGAAGGGCTGAGTGGAGACCTGATTCCGTCCTGACCCCACCTCTCCAGCCTCACCATACATCCTTCAGTCTCTACGCCTAAGAAATCTCCAGAAAAGGAGGTCACATTTGGTCAAGTGGAGGATCAGTGAACATGAGGGAGCCTCTATGAGATGGTTTGATACAGTGGCTGCCACAATGGGCTCAAACATATGAACAATCATGAGGATGGGGCAGTGTTTCGTTCTGGTCTATGGAAGGTCTCCATGAATTGGAGCCAACTGGATAGCAGCCAAGGACAGCTATGCCCATAGAGTGGGGAGAACAGAGAAGGAAGAGGAGAAAAGCTCGAGAAAGAAGGAGAACAGAGGGGAGAAAAGAAGAACAAAGGAGACGGTGAGAGGAAGGAACACATTTCTCAGGCCCCAGTCCCCAAGGGGTGAAAGGATGGCTGCCAGCTTAGATCCCGCCAGCTAAATAACCTGGTAGAAAGAATGCTTTACTTTCCCAAGAGTCACAGCAATAGTCCTGCAGCTGACTCTCATTAGAAGAACTGAGGCACGTGGCCACCCTGGATCAGTGTCTGTGGCAGGACTCTTAGTGGCCTGGCCTAGGTCGTGGACCCTCTCCCACTCCAACCCAGGGATGGCAGAAGCCCACCATGACCACACTGAGAGCAGAGGAGTGGAGATCCCTTGAAGTAAGACTGGGGTGCTGTTGGCAGCAAAATGAGGCACGGACGCTTGGCTGGCAGGAGCGCACACATCGCTGCCTTGGTTTGTAGTTGTGCCACACCAATCTCTGGCTCCCTCTTCCCATGGCCTTCTCCTCTGTGCCTCTCTGTCTCTGTACATCTTCCTCTCTTCTTATGAGGACCCTGGTCATATCGGATTAGGGCCCACCCTACTCAGCCTCCTCCAGAATCTTAACAAATTACATCTACAAAGACCCCATTTCCAAATAAGGCCACATTCTGGGGTTCTGGTTGGACATGATTTAACCCAGTGCACCCAGGAGCCATTAGAACTGTGACCCTGTTATTGCACAATTACATTTTCACACAAATGTAAGCCTACGGCACCACAATTAGCTGAGGTTTTTTTTGTGAAAGGCTTGCCTCCTGTTCCCAGTGCCAGACAAAGGAGACAATTCCCTCTCTCCCCACTGGGCCAATAAATCCTTCCGGCTCTGTTCCAGTGAGCCCTCGTTGCCCTGAGACAGGGCTGCTGAGCAGGTGGGCTACTGAAGAGGAAAGGGGGCAGGTTTGGAAGTAGCCCGGCATCCTGGTGGGAGGATGCTTAGAAGGAAAGGCTCACCGTGTCTAGGTCTATCTCATGGGCTTTCTGTTGGGACCATCCCCCAGCTGGATTAGTCCCAGGCCGATAGCTGCTTTGTACCATTCTTCTTCAGGCCCCTGCATGGGTGTGCTGCCTGAGAGGGTGCGGTGGTGTTGGTAGTTGCTGTCGAGCTGATCCAACTCATGGCGACCCTCTGTACAACAGAATGAAATACTGCCTGGTCCTGAGCCATCCTCACATTCCTTGCTATGCTTGAGCCCCTTGTTGCAGTCCATCTCATTGAGGGGCTTCCCCTTCTTCGCTGACCCTCTACTTTACCAAGCATGATCTCCTTCTCCAGGGGCTGGTCCCTTCTGACAGCATGACCAAAGTAAGTGAGAGGAAGTCTGGCCATTCTCGCTTCTAAGGAGCGTTTGGCTGCACTTTCCCTAGGATGGATTTGTTAGTTCTTCTGGCAGTCCATGATATTTTCAGTATTCTTTGCCTACACCATAATTCAAATGCATTGATTCTTCTTTGGTCTTCCTTCCTCGTTGTCCAGCTTCAATGGGTTGAACAAAACCAGTTGCCGTGGAGCTGATCCCAATTCATGGTGACCCCTGTGTGTCGGAGTCGAACTGTGCTCCACAGGGTTTTCAGTGGCTCGTTTTTTGGAAGCTGATCCCCAGACCTTTCTTCTGAGGTGCATTTGGGTGGACTCAAACCACCGACCTTTCGGTTGGCCAAGCTATCTGCTTCTGAATGATCACAGCCATAAAAGTCCCTGTGGAGTGCAGCTCTGTCCTGAAACACGTAGGTTACCATGATTCCAAATCTACTGGATGGCAACTGGTTTGTTCATTGTCCCACATGACGTTCCTGAGTGACACAAGCAGTTCACAGGCCTGGCTGCTAACTGAAAGGTTGGAGGTTGGAGTCTACCCCGAGGCCCCTCTCCAAACAGAAGCCATTGAAGAGGGAGGACTCGTCCCTGGTCTCCTCCCTCCTCTCTCCTCCTCTGCGTGGTGAAAGGGTGTGGGGAGGACACAGTCGCGTCCATGGACTGCGGGTGGGGATCTAGCCCACTTGACGTCTGGGTGGGAGTGGCCAGCCCTGCACCTTTGTGTGCATATATGTGTGTACATGCACGCGTGTGTGTATGTGCACAGGTGTTGTGTGTGCATGGGGGGATATCACAAACTCCCTCCCTGTAGAGACCTGGCAGGCAACAAAATGGGTGAAGCCCATGGGGACCTGGGGCAACAGAGAGAGAGTGGTGGAGATACAGCAAAGGGACAAGCAGTGGCCCCCCAAGTCCCTGCAGAACCAGGTCTTCCCATCTGCAGCGAGGCACTAGAAAGCCTTACTTTTGGTGAAATCTTCGGCTTTGTAAATGTCTCAAAGGCATAAATGCTGTGTTGGTCAAACAAAGGATTCGAGCAGCCTCAGACGTGGAGAGAAGAAGGTCTGCTGGGTGGGGAGTCGGGGAAGGGGAGGGGCTCAGCTTGGGGGACTACGTTTCGCAAGCCCCAGCCTGGCTTCTTTCCAGGGTGTGTCACTCACCCTCCCAGTGCAGCCGTGGCTGAGAACCTCCCCGACACCATTGGTCCCCACCCCTTGGGAATGCATTGAACACAGAGAGAGTAGAGCTGTACAGTTATGAGCGGGCCTTTTTCATGGGAAGGAACCTTCACTTCACAAGGAACCTGAGGCCTGGGGATTTCAGGCGACTCTCCTGGGGTGCACAGGCAGCGTTCCTGGCTGCCTACCGGCCATCTGTCAAACTCGGCTGCCCTCCACCACAGAAACAAGAAATACAGCTCTAAAGCAGTGTAAAACCCACTGCCATCAAGTTGATTCTGACTCATAGTGACCCCCATTGGGTTTCCGAGGTGGTAAATCTTTATGGAAGTAGATTGCCCAGTATTCCTTCTGTGGAGCAGCTGGTGGGTTTGAACCACCAACCTTCTGGTTAGCAGTCCAATGCCTTAGGCATTGAGCCACTAGTACAGTGACAGGAAAAACCCATGCTCCACCCACTGCTACCTTCCATTTAAGTTTTCAGAACTCCACTCCTCCCTCCCCCTCCATGTACAGCCTGGTGGCTTTTTCTAGAACCTTAAGATTTCACATAGACTTCCTGGGTGGTGCTAACAGCTAACATGCTCAGCAGCTAATCAGAAGGTTGCAGGTTCAAGTACATCCCCAGGTGCCTTAGAAGAAAAGTCTGGAACAGTTCTAGTTTGACATGTGGGGTAGCCATGGGCCAGAGTCAACTCAGCAGCCACTGGGTTGGTTTAAGATTGCAGACAATATTGAACTTGGGAGGAGAGTTCATCAGAAGACTGGGACGCTAGCAAAAATTGAGTTTGAATGTCAGCATGTTCTTTTATGAGTTCTTGTGAATGTAACAAAATCATTTTATGACGTGAGTGAGAGAGAAGAGAGAACGAGACAGAGAGCGTGCACATCTTTATAGATGACAGATTGAGAAATACTTTTCCCAGGGGCCCCTCCTCCACTCTGCCCCTCCTCAGCTCTGGGAGGGGGGAGTGGGCATCTCTGTGCCAGTGTGGAGAGTCATTCTGGCACCTGGAAAGAAGGAGACCCCAGAACTGGAGCCCCCTGCCTGCTCCCTAGCTGAGAGCAGGCTGCCCCTTGCAGCCCATTTAAGACAGGTGTTTCCAGAGCCTGTTCACCTGCCTGGACTGGAAGAACGGATCCAAACACCTGTCACTGTGTCTGGAATTCTGTTAGCCAAGCTTTGATCTTGAAGAAATTTTCCTCTTCCCAAGTCACTTATTAAAATGTGAATCTCTGAGGTGGGAAGGACCTTCTCTGCCACCTCCCCATCTTCTGCCCGACCTCAGGCTGGTTAGTCACTGAGAGGCCATGTGGGCAGACAACCCTGAGCAGTCTGAGGCACAAGGGCAGTGTGCTCCCCAAAGAAGTGGCTCCCCTTAATTTGGAACACAGAAGTGGGGCGCTTAACCACACCTGGGGGACTCGAGAAAGGCTTCGCAGGGAAGCGACTCCAGTGCTGCTGTGGAGTCTGCCCCTAGCCCTGAGCGCAACAAGATGGGGCCGTTGGAAGCCACAGGGCTTTCTGTGATTTTCAGAAGCAGATCTCCAGGCCTCTCCTCCTAGTCTATCTTAGTTTGGAAGCTCCGCTGAGACCTGTTCAGCATCGTGGCAACACACACGCCTCCACTGACCGCCACGGTGGACGCTGTGCCTGAGGTGCATTGACTGGGAGTAGAATCTACGTGTTCCACATGAAGGTGAGAATCCTACCACTAACCCATCAGTGCCCCCAAGTAGGACCTACTCAGGTGAAAAGCAGGGAAGATGAGGGGGTCCCAGGCAGAGGGGACAGACATGCAAACACAGTAAGATGGAACATGGTGGGGTCAAGGATCTACAGGAAGGAGGTAGGAGAGGAGCTGGGGAGGTGGTGAGCCCTGCTACGGAAGTTGCTTTTCCCACCACAGGCAATCGGGAGCCATTTAAATCTCTAAGCAGGCAAGGGATCAATTGGGTGTGTAGTTTAGAAAAAGCACTGTGCTGCAGCATGGAGCCCGGGTAGCAGAGGATGGAGACGAGAGAGGAGAACTAGGCAGGAAGCACTTACAGGGGTTACAGTGATAGGTGATGTCGCTGGACCCAGGTGGTGACAGATGGGATCAGGAAGTCAGGGATCCCACAAAGGCAGAGGGCAACATCACCGACTCCATCTTAAGTTTCAGTCACCTAGACCTTCACCCTTAGAGTGCAACGACCCCTCCCACACACACACTCCATTCCTCCCCACCTGGTGGCCAAGGAGACCCAGGCTCTAGCATGGCTACCTGGCTGGTCCGAGTGATGCAACGGCGCACCAGGTCTCTGATGTTGTTGTGTTTGTCCGTCTGCAAATACACAGTGGCGCTGGACTTCTCCTTCAGGTAGGGCTTCTCCACTGAGGCCCAGGTGTTCAGCAGGGCTGGCTCGCTGCCCTCTGAGGCCACAGGAAAGTAGGTACCTGACTGCAGGGAGGCTGAGTCGTGTCCCCTGAGGCCTACCTCAGCCCCTCCAGGGGGCTCTGGAGTGCAGGGGGGCTCCTTGGCCTGGGCCTGGATGTACTGGGCCTCCTCTGAGGACAAGAAGTCCACCTCGCCTTCCTGGCTGAGTGCCCGCCAGTAGGCCTCAGGACCCCCGTCCAAGAGGGCATCTGTGGCCAGCCGGGCACTCTCGTTGTCGCTGAAGTCAGCTCTGGCTGGCCGGACCCACTGGTTCTTGACATCGTCCAGGCGTTTCTGGATCTTGCCCACATGCCTTGACCGGCTCATCCCGCCCCGTTGCTGAGAGGAGGCCGTTGCCCGGAGCTCTTCCCAACCGTGAGGAGCTGAGCCCAGAAGGGCAGAGCACCTGCCTCCGGAAGCTCCAGCTCCCGGGACTGGCGAGCAGCGTGCCCAGCCCCGCACCGGGCTCAGGCGAACGATCCACCGCTGGCCTGGACAGGGCCGTGCAGGAATCCACGGCGGCGGCCACGGATTGGCTTATCTCTGAGGGCCACCCGCCCAGCCCGCAGGCCCAGCACTGGCTCACACCCCGCCCTGGCACAGTCAGCCACCGGTGATCCCCTCCCTCCCAGCTGTAGGGGAAGGCCAAGGTGAGCCTGGTTCCCGCTCAATTGCACAACCGTCCTGGAAGCCCAGAGACCTTCAGGCTTTTTGACAAAGTTGGGAGGCTCCGCTGGCCCATCACCCAGCCCGACGGATGGGGCCTGTGAAAGGACTGTGCCAGTGGTCCCCGCCGGGGCTCCCTGTCCGCAGGCTGACGGGCTTCTAGATGATCCTTTCTCTCTGGGGAAGAGATACTGCCCCTGAGACCCGCTGAGTGAAGGCAGGAAGCTGGAGGCAGGCCAGCACTCCTCAGGCGCCCCTCCTTACCCACGGTCACACCCCGAGTTCCCACCCCTCCCTGCGCTCTGAGGAAGCTCTCTCACCTACCTCTCTCTTGTATTGTGCCTGTTTGAACAGAATCCGCAAAGAGATCCCAGGTCTCTGGAGGTGCTGCTTGGCATACTGTCCCGAGGAGCAGCTAAGGCATGAGGCCAGCCTGTCCCCATGCTGGAGGGAGAGGTGGCAGCTTGGTGTTTGACGTAAACGAACAATGAAGGCAGCAGCCATGGTTCCCTTCTGGATCAGGTCATGGTCTGGCAATGGGATGGAGTATCTCCAATCATGATGGTCTTTGGGTTCTGCCAGAAACAGACTATGACATTAGGATTTGAGTACAAGCGCAGCAGTGAATTTGGAAGGAGTCCCTAGTGATACAAAAGGCTAACCCGGTCAGCTGCTAACCACAGCCTGACGATGCACCTTTGCTTTATCTCCTGCGCACAATCCCCAGAACCTCTCAGGGAGTAAAACCAACAAACTCTCTGCGTTGCCCTCTTGGGTCCCTGCCTGGTCCTTACTGTCTTCACCAACTCTTGCTATGTGCGTTGACTTAACCTCTTCCCCAGGTCCGCCTGTCTGGTCTCATCCGTGTCCTCCTCAGCCCGTTCTCTGATTCCATATCACATCAATCTAGTCCTCATCCTGCTGAGACAGACAAGGAGGAAGGGAGCAATAATTTGCAGGATTTTCTCGGGGTCATCTCGCGGCTCAAAGACTTTCAGTGGCTCCTGTTGCTGCCAAATTAAGCTCCACTTTCGGAGCCTAGAATCTGAGACACTGCACAGAATACCCCAAGGGAACATTCCAGTTTGACCTCTCCTACACTTGGACATCATTAAGTGCTCACTGTGTGCTGACTCTGTGATGAAGGAGGGAGGCATTAATAGGCCTTGCTTTATAGATGAGGACACCAAGGCTCAGAGATGTTGAGTAACTGACCCAAGATCACACAGCTAGTAAGTGGTAAAACCAGACATTGTAATTCCAAAGCCCAGGTACTTTCCATTGTGCCAGACAAAAAGCCAACTCTTTCCTTCCCTTCCCTTTCTACTCTCAAAATGTTATAAATCCTATTATCAGTTCTAGAATGTATGTAGCGGAGAAGGAAAGAAGTAGTTGGATATTCAGAGGTTTTCCTCTTACCCAAGCCTAATTCTGGCTAGGCAATGTGCCAAGCAGTGTCATCATTAGGGCTGGAGCCCCCTGTGTGGCAACTCATGGTGTCATCCCCCCCCTACACTTCCTCTCATACCAGACCATATGGAATCCAATGTTTATTATCAGTTTTAATCATGGAATACATGTGATAGATAGATATAGCTATAAATTGCTTAAATTCAGTATTTCTTAGATTATAGGAAAACTAACAACAAAATTGCTTTGCAAAATCTTTCTACATTGAATTACAACATAATTAAAAGACAACCAAACTCACTGCAGTTGAGATTTTGACTCATAGTAACCCCTCCTTGAGTTTCCGAGGTGGTACCTCTATGGAAGGAGATTGCCCAGTCTTCCTTCTGAGGAGTGGCTGGTGGGTTTGAACCGCCAGCCTTCTGATTAGCAGTCAAATGCCTTAGGCACCATGCCACCAGAGTTCCCACAACATTATTGGTTACAACAATTAGTAATAACTAAGAGGAAGTCTTTTCATTTTCCTCCTTCTTTTCCTTTGGTACTTCATTCTCAAAAAAAAAAAAAAAAAAAAAAGATTGAAATAGCTTCCAAATACTAATTACCACAATATTGTAACTAAAACACCAGAAAATCTGATAAAATCTGTGCCTGTGAAAACACAAGCCGCAACAAAAACAACTGCACGCTTCTCGCGCATGCGGACAAAACCGCGCGTTTGTGACTAGGTAACACTGACGCCCTGACCGCCGCGCATGAGAAGGTTCAAAAACTAAGTCAGCATAGCGTTTTAGAGTCAGGAGCATATCGATGCATGTTAGCTGAAGTTACGGAAATATTTTGGTTACTAGCTCGAATATTTTTATAAGAAGTAATAAATTCCTGCTGAAACACTACACAAAAACTTTATAGACAGTCTTTCTGGGTCACCTCCTCTGACACTGTCCCCTTACCTGGTGTGGTCTGCAGCCCCCTTATATCCCTAGTGATGTTACTGATGCCAACAGCTAAAATAGGCCCAGCCCCTTCTCTAGGGGTCAGAAGTCTTCACCTGCTCAGGTACACAGAGAGGTAATGAGGCTCAGGTTGATCAGAGCCCTTACCCCCCTTTCCTGTGATGTGTGTGTATGTGTGAATGCACCCAACACACGTCCTCTGGCCACTGCCCCTTCCTACCCCAGAGCTATAGGGAGATCCGAGCCGTATCAATTTGGCCTCGTCTGGGCATGAGGCCAGTGACCAGATGGTCCGTATGATCTCCCAGTTTTCAAAATTGATTATTAATTTCCTGATAAGTTTTTTGACTAGGACCTAAAATGAACAAGAATTTGCTTTTGATTACTTTACATTCACACTATGGCTAAAATAGCAACACAATTCGCTTATAAGAAAGTTCAAAGCTACCCTGAATCAAAGACCAAAAGCAGCGGAATGTTAACAGTGGTTGTCGTTGGTGAATTTCTCCCCCCTTCATTAATTTTCTCTGTATTTTCTAAATCTTCCTGTATTCACAATATGAGTTTATAATAAGGAAGTTTGTTCTCTCCCCCCGCCCCTCAGAAGCCAACAGATTACAAATAAGCAGCCCACGCAGGAGGGAGCTTTCTTAGCCATCCCCGTGCTCCCACTCCCTCCTGGGTCTGCTCTCAGCAAGGGATTGAGGATCAGGAAGCCGGAGTGGTCCCAATCTTCTCAGGGTTACAGATGAAGAAACAGGTCCAGAGAAGGACAAGAGACTTGCCCCACGAAGGACAGGAACCTGGCTTCATGCCCTCGTGTCACATGGAAGAACCAGGGACCCAGAAAACAAACACATTTGATGGCAGTCCTCAAGAAGGTCAGGGATCCCAGTGCTCCAGGAAGAGGTATGGGAAGGACAGAGGCAGCGTGTGTCCACCTTCAACACTAGGAGACCCAGGGGCCAGGGAATGAGGACCACAGGGCTGGGGAACTGTGACTTCTTCCATGCCCCTGCTCTGAGGGCACACTCTAGGTGAAAAGCATGCCAGCCACCCCTTACCCAGCTTCTGAGCACTTACCACCATCTGACTTAGTGTGTGCTTGCTTATTACCTGCCCTGCCCACCCCACTGGGAGGTAAACTCCTCAAGGACAGGAACTTTTCCACTGATGCATTCTGCCTTCCTGAGACAATGCCTAGTAGTTGCCCAACAAAGCTCAACCTGTATGGACTATTTTCTTCCTGTTCACCTGCAGAGCGGCTTTCATAGGAAAAAAACAAAAGAGAGAGAGAGAGAGAGAGAGGCAGAGGGAGAGGGAGAGAGAGAAAGAAAGAAGGGAGCAAGGGAGGGAAGGAGGGATGAAAGAAAAGAATCCCTGAGAAGAACTTTCCCGTAGGAGCTGCTGGAGGAAGAGGAGCCCTGCTTCTCTTGTCGCCAGCTCTTGTCCTCCCACAGACCTCTGAGACTCCAGGTGTGCCCTTCAGAGTAGTCAGAGCATATACACTGCACTGTGTGTGTTGACACTCCTCCCTCTCCCATAGCTGTTCCCTTGGCAGACATTGCTAGTTGATCACAGAACTCTTTTCCACTGAGCTGAGAACCATCTCCTCACCACTCTCTATAGTGCTTAAAGGGAAGTCCTCACCTGGAAAGAATTTTGGATGTATCCCAGCTCCTTCAGTTAACTGATGAGAAAACTGTGGCCCAGAAAGAGTAAGTGACTGATTCCAGTTGTCACACAATTGGTCAGTGACCTGTCAGCTTGTTCCTCATCTCCTCTCCTCTGTGACTCCAGCCCTATGAAATGTCGTCATTATCGATGGGTCCACTGTTTGTAATAACGAGTTTCCTCACCTGGAATTACACTCCTGGGACAGGACGTCTGGCCAGCTAAGAAGCCACACATTCATGTCTTGAGATGTCCACATCCGAGAGCCCTCAGTTACAGGCACTGTGAGTTCTACAGGACTTTACTCCCCTTCTGATTTCCTGTGGCTCTCGGAAGTCTGGTTGTCTCCTGCTCACCAAGGGGAAGACTGAGAAGCTGGGCTCCTGTTAGCAACTGAGTAGGGTTGGGGCTTCCTGAAAATTCCATTTATCTATGACACAGTTCTCAACTGGTGGTTCTTTTGACCCCCTTACCTAGGCGTCAAGGAGGCCTGGTGGCACAGTGGTTTAAGCACTTGTCTACTAACCCAAAGGTCAGTGGTTTGAACCCACCAGCCACTCCATGGGAGAAAGATGAGGCAGTCTGCTTCCGTAAAGATTTACAGCCTTGGAAACCTCATGG